GAAATGAAAAGCAGCTAAATTTATTTCTGAAATCAAGTGCCAAAAGTGGATATTCAGGCAGAGTTAAAAACATGGTGAAAAGTGTGTAGGGCAAAGTAGTCAGACATTTGAAGAAGGGAGACCTGAGTTGAAATCTCTGCACAAGGACCTCACTGGGAGAACTTGGGCCAGTCACACACTCTTCTTGTGAAAATAAAATGGGTTACGATACTCTGAACATCTTGGAGAAAGAATCAGATAGAAGGTTGAGAAATAACCAAATAGATTGTGTCAATTTTATCCCTAGTTGCTCAACATTTTAGGCTAGGCAGATGAATGTTTCCAGTGACAAAGTATGGATGTAATGTCGCAAACAGTGTCAGATTTATGTATAAGCTAAACAAGGTATAGCTTAGGGCCCCACTCTCTTGGGGGCTCCCCCAAAAAATTAAAGGAAAAAAACCGGATGTACATTTCCAAAATATAAGATGAAAAACAAATAAAAATAAAACCTACATAACAGTGTTTTGTGTTGTGTAGGCTCCTATGATGTAAGTCATGGGCCCTGCCTGCTAGCCAGCTCCCTAAAATATCACTGGTTTGCTCATTTCTATATATAGGGTGCCTACATTCTGTGTGGATTGGCTGCATGGCAACATGTGCAAATGGCTTTAGGTCCATAAATTACCATCTATCATATATTCAACACACACAAAAAGCGACAATTTGTTGTTGAGAAAGGACCGCTGGACATATAAAGGGCCCCATTACCTTCAGTAGCTTAGGGCCTCATCAAACCTAAATCCGGCCCTGGTTGCAAATCATGAAAACTCTCTCTGATCTGTGATGGCTGTTTCTCATCAGCTGATGTGGCAATTGCTGCATGATGAACACACCCTTCAATCAATGGGACAAGCTGAGAGTGCCTGTTCACAAATTTAATTCTTATATAGTTTTCCGCAATATTCAAAGAAGATGAAGAGTCATTTTAAAAAATATATATATTGACTAAGAACTTCCTGCCACAATTCACATTTCAAATTTAGTCTAGGGCAGTGTTCCCCAACCTTGGGCCTCCAGCTGTTTTTGGACTACAACTCCCATCATCCCTCGCTAGCAAGACCAGTGGTCAAGGATGATGGGAATTGTAGTCCAAAAACAGCTGGAGGCCCAAGGTTGGGGAACACTGGTCTAGGGCATGCTTTAATGTCAGTCTCAACGTGCATCGAAGCATTTAAAAGGTGTGTCATCATAGATCAACCCAAGATGGTTTCATTGTATAAAAATTATTTTGCAAATTAGCAGTGGGCAGTGCACGGATGAAATAAAAGTGCAGCCCTGTACCCCTGTCAAGACCCCCTGTATGTTTACTAGGCTGCATTTTAATATTAACATACATATTTTCTCCTCTACAAGTGGAGTAAAGTAAAATAATATGACATTTCTTTTCTAGCTCAGGTTTGGGTTTCTGGAAAGACCAAAACATTGCACTGCACCTAACAGGAGCTCTGATTCGAATAAAGCTCTACATTTTCTCTTTCTCATGCCATTGACTGAACTTTGTTTCTTGCACAGAAAGTTGCTTGGGTTTTGTTTGTTTGTTTGTTTGTTTACCAAGGAAGTTCTTGGTTCACACACCCTGAATCCGGTAGCCCTTTCAAACTGGGCTTTACTGCTTACTCAGATCTCTTTCCAGAAAAAAATAAAATAAAATTGATTGTTTTAGCATAGGATGTACTTTGGCCTGTATCTCTATTCCACAGAAGCAAAAAACAATGAAGAAAAGCAGAACAGGCTCAACAATGCCCATGAATTTCCCTAATAAGGAAACAATCCACTTCTTTTCAGGGGGCTGAGAGCGCAAAGCCCACACACTTTGTTAAGAAAAGAGGTTCTTTTTTTCTTTTTTGGATATCCAAATCTCTAATTAATATACATGTGAAGTGACATTTGGGCTGGGAAGCCTGATATGAGGGAACATAACTGACACAGCTAAAATGCAGTCAATATCATGCAAATTGCCTTACAGGTGGAACAAATGTAAGCAGATTATTACATGCAAATTTTTTTTCCAAGGCAATCATTTAAATTTTCTAATATATTTGGGAAAAAGCTGTCTGCTATCAAAGCCTCCGAAATGCAGCTGCAAAAAATTAGGCAGAGATGTAGGCTCAATAGTGGGGTTGTGTTTTCCTTCAGAAAGCATTCACTTAGCTCTGCACAGCACACTGGAGAATTGATTGCACTTATAAACACAGTCATTGCTCCGTCCCACGACTGCTTGTTTGGGGTATCAGATGCTGCTTATCTAAGAAAAGATTAAGTGTCATACAATTTAGCATGTTATATATGAGGGATGAAGGAGCTATGAGCTCCTGTGCAAGTAACCAAACTAGTTGAAACTGTTAGGATTCTCTTCCCGTGCTGCAGTCATGGGATTGTTTTTATCACATGACGGTGTACGTTTTCATTCCACATTGTGGGGAGTGACAGAGACAGGATGTTTGTATAACTGTGTTTCCATGATGTAGGACATTTGTCCTTTTGTTCTTTCTCTTTGCTGTCTGATACTGAAGAGGAAGGAGCTGAGTTACAATGCTCCAAGTGTGTATATGTAAATAAACGTAGTTTAGCCAAATGCTGCGCTACTGAGTCTGTACACTGACTGCATATATTGTACTCTGCTGATCCCGAAGTGTGCTGATGCCTCTCAGGTATCAGTTGCTGTGATGTTCGCTCTGGAGAAAGCATTTGAATCTCCCAAACAACTGACCAGGAGGGAGAGAACATGCCAGTCGGGCATGTGTCTCTGCCAGACTCCTACTCGTGTGTAGGACCTCCTGACAGAAACATCTCCTTATGCCTAAAAACAGCATCTTTTAGCTGAGGGAGCAGTTAATAGTGGGGTGGCCTTTGGAGGAATCCATCCATGGATCAATTTCTAATGCGCCAAATGGTCGTGTTTTCTGATACTTAGGACTGCCTCATCTAGACAATTTGGATTGTAAGTCGTGCTTGGCACAGAAGTAAAAGCAATTAAGACCTCTGTAAACTCAGCTGTGGTTGAAGGTCACCATTTTAAAATAGTTACCAACACTACCACCACACCACAATAATTAAATACTCCATGTGCACTAAATCCTTTCAAGTTCTTTTTTTTTTTTTTGGTTTCACTATGACTTCAACACACTTCAACACAGTGTTAGCTTCTACCTGCATGTTGAGCTGGTTTGCACACAACACTAAGCCAAGAAGAAGCAAGTGTGTGGGTGGCAACAGAAAAAATCATGGCTGCTTCATGGCTGGGAGTGGCTGCCGAGACCATGTTACACTGGTCCTGAAAGACCTACATTGGCTCCCAGTACGTTTCCGAGCACAATTCAAAGTGTTGGTGCTGACCTTTAAAGCCCAAAACGGCCTCGGCCCAGTATACCTGAAGGAGCGTCTCCACCCCATTGTTCTGCCCTGACACTGAGGTCCAGCGCCGAGGGCCTTCTGGCGGTTCCCTCACTGCGAGAAGCCAGGTTACTGGAAACCAGGCAGAGGGCCTTCTTGGTAGTAGCGCCCACCCTGTGGAACACCCTCCCATCAGATGTCAAGGAAATAAACAACTATCTGATGTTTAAAAGACATCTGAAAGCAGCCCTGTTTAGGGAAGTTTTTAATGTTTGAAGTTTTATCATGTTTTCAATATTCTGCTGAGAGCCGCCCAGAGTGGCTGGGTATAAATTTTATTTATTATTTATTTATTTATTTATTTATTTATTTATTTATTTATGAAGACATCTAAAGGAAGCCCTGTATAGGGAAGTTTTTTAATGTTTTATTATGTTTTGGCATATGCTAGAAGCTACCCAGAGTGGCTGGGGCAACCTAGTTAGATGGGTGGGGTACAAATAATAAGAATAAGAACAATTGTTATTATTTATTTCACCCCAGTCCTCCTCCTGCTGAACTACATGGACCTGGGCTCGTGGGTTGTCTCGCCAAAGTTTTTTCTTGCTTTGGCTTTGTTTGGCTTAGCTGCAGGTATTGCGGCAGCAGGAAGACCTGGAGAGGAGTGAAGAAGATGTTAAGCTCCCTGTGAACAAGGTCTCTCTGAAGAGCTGCCCAGTAGATCTACCTAGAGTTGCCCAACTGATTTTTAATCGAGTCCTCCAAGGTTGTATATAGTGGCTCTACATCAAGCTCTCGTCCCTGAGATCCCTTAACTAGTAATACTGGGGATATGATCTCAAATCTCATGCATAAAACAATGTGCTCTGCCGCTGAGCTATGAACGTACCACAAAAGTTGATCTCTGGATTTCCTTTACTGGAACTAAGGGTATAAAAAGCAACTTATTTCAAAGTGAAAGCCTTTGACTTTGGTCAAAGCCAGCCTTTCAAGGTCTTATTCCCAGACCCCCAACCTGAAATATAAGGGATCAGTCCAAGACCTTTCATGAATGTGTGAAAACTTTACAAAACCAAGAGATATGCCTCGCTCCCCCTACAACAGTTTATAGCATATCACACCCCATAATATAACACAAACAGTTGCAGTTCAGATGGTATCTATTAGTAACTTGCAAGAGACGTTTGCTCAATTTATTTTGTTATGTAATGCTTTTAGGAAGACCCGGCGTCTCTGAGGTAGATCAGAAAGCAAAACACTGTTCTTTCTGGTTCACACATTATCACTGCAGGGGGAAAAATCTTCCACGAGGCGTCTGCTTTTTCTCACACATGCACACACACACACACACACACACACACATCCCTGACACACACACCACAAATTTGCACATACCCTTAGCTCTTTTTGTTACTGCTGTGGTAAAAGAACTAGTACCATGTATGTTAATGGCATATTAAGTAAGGAACTCTTTCATGTGTTTAAGCACTTCAAAATGAAATATAACAAAATATCAGTATGTGGATTTCAAAGCTCTGAATTTTAGCCGAGTTTGATCCTGTGGAAGATGAACTGCTTTTAATATACAATGTCTGAAGGTTTGCGTGGTTCCATTTTCACCTTACCTTCTATTGCTGATTGGAGAACTCGAGAATGGTCATAAGCGATGACATTCGCGTATCTATTCTTTGGTTTATTTACTTCCAGGTTAGAGTGTTCCCATGTGAATTGCTGCCCTGGGTCAATTGACTTGAGAGAGAGAGAGAGAGAGAGAGAGAGAGGAGGGATAGTTATTATTAGCTGAAGAACTATTTTTATTTTGGAAATACTTACCTTTTATAAAAGGTTCACATGTATTGCATAGCTCAAAGGACTTAACTGTGGGTCTTATTCCACTGCAGTTTGTCATACTGGTATACTTAGGGCTCAACTGGATGTCTGCTTGTCTCGCTGCTTTACCCTGAAAACCCCCACAGAATCAGAATGCCAACTGGGTTTGGGCCAGATTGCTCTGAATCAATGTTCAAAGGGCAGGTTTCTCCAGGGAAAAGCGGAAAACTTGTGCTTAGAAAGCACAAGACAAGTGCAAATGTGGGCAAGCCCTTATTGACAATCGCATTTAACCGCTGGCCTTGCAAGATACTCTATCTGTTCTTACACAAAACAAGAGAAAAACCTATTCTGTTGTTGTTGTTGTTGTGCGAGAGAGAGAAGTGAAGAGGTTATAATAATAAAACGGAGGAAGAATAATGGAAGGCTCAAGTAGATTTAGCTATGGCAACCATAGAACTGGGTATTTTCTCTATAGAATGCCTGTGGCCTCTGTACATTTGCAAGGCAGAAAAGACTTCATTAGTGCTGCTGGAAACCCCTTGTTCTGAGGGTAGGCTCTAAAGTATCTAACCAAAGTTCATCAGTTGAAATTCCTGGTGCTGCCAAGGGAAAGACGTTTCTGCAGAAATCTCATCCAAACAGCTGGTTGGCTTGTACATGGTGAATTTAAGCATATGTAGAAAGCCGCTCATCCATACCAGCAACTGAGCTGTAGAACTCACTTACTTGTGGAGGATGGGCATTGCTAGTTCACAATGATCTAATTGGGGTGGACTGCGGTAATGTGGTACCCTGAGCGAGGACAAAATTTGGTGCCCCTCTCCAAATATGTCTCATTTTCACAACAACTCGTTTTGGTACAAGATTCAGGTAGGTAGCCATGCTGGTCTGACGCAGTCGAAATATATAAAAAAATAGTCCAGTAGCACATTTGAGACCAACTAAATTTGTTCTGGGTATAAGCTTTCGTGTGCATGCACACTTCTTCAGATACCAGATTTTGGTACAGTTGCTTTTTATGTATCTTTTCAGTAGGTACCCATATAAATATAAAGGTAAAGGGACCGCTGACCATTAGCTCCAGGTCATATGGCCAGCATGACTAAGCCGCTTCTGGCGAACCAGAGCAGCGCACAGAAACGCCGTTTACCTTCCCGCTGGAGCAGTATCTATTTATCGACTTGCACTTTGACATGCTTTTGAACTGCTAGGTTGGCAGGAGCAGGGACCGAGCAACGGGAGCTCACCCTGTCGCGGGGATTCAAACCGCCGACCTTCTGATCGGCAAGTCCTAGGCTCTGTGGTTTAACCCACAGCACCACTCGCGTCCCATCATATAAATATAGGCAGTGCTTTTTTTCCCTAAAAAAATTTTTTAGGGGTATTCTCATTTTCCTACTCATATTGAAATACTGCCCTTCAATGAGGCCAAACTTAGATTCACAAAATGTTTAGAGAGTATGCGTACCCCCAGAAGAAAGCACTCAATATAGGTATTATTATTCTTCGCCCCCTCAGCTTGGTGCTTTGTGCAGGGGAACTGCCCGCACCCCCTTAAATCTGGTGCTGATCTAATACAAGACGGCTTGCAAACAATTTTGGAAGAGCTGTTAAAATGGAAGAGGCATCATATTTTCCAAGGTCTTTGGGGTGACTTCTGGCACTAATTCAGGCCCGTGTTCACTTTAAAGTGCAAATCACCCTGAAGATGCTTTGAAGGAGAGCAGGGGCTAATGTCATGCACAGCTGTGCTGTAACACGTAGCTTCCCCTTTAGTCCCTTTTCATTCTGCGCATTTCCACCCCAATTCTGGTTATATTTTATCCTGTCTCCTGCTAAGATTCATATTAGTAGGACAGGACTGCATAGGAGACTCAGTGCAATGCAATGCAAGCAATACATTGTGCTGTGCCACATACTGCTATCTGTTTCACAGCCAAAATTGGATGAAGATGAGGACATAGAGATGATGAGGGACAGAGATGGTAGATCCTGATAGCATGTTTAAAAGGTAAAGGGACCCCTGACCATTAGGTCCAGTCGTGACCGACTCTGGGGTTGCGGCGCTCATCTCGCTTTATTGGCCGAGGGAGCCGGCGTACAGCTTCCGGGTCATGTGGCCAGCATGACTAAGCCACTTCTGGCAAACCAGAGCAGCGCACGGAAACGCCATTTACCTTCCCGCCGGAGCGGTACCTATTTATCTACTTGCACTTTGGTGTGCTTTCGAACTGCTAGGTTGGCAGGAGCAGGAACCAAGCAATGGGAGCTCACCACGTCGCGGGGATTCAAACTGCCGACCTTCTGATCGGCAAGTCCTAGGCTCTGTGGTTTAACCCACAGTGCCACCTGTGTCCCTGATAGAATGTTTAGGGACGTTTTTAATGACTGATGTTTTAATGTACTTTTAATCTTTTGTTGGAAGCTGCCCCTAGTGGCTGGGGAAACCCAGACAGATGGGAGGGGGTATAAATTTTTATTTTATTTATTTTATTTTATTTTACATCATCCAGTACCTAGGACTACACCTACACTGATAAGAGTACTGCTCACAGAAATCGAGAGTTACCGTATTTTTTGCACCATAACACTCACTTTTTTCCTCCTAAAAAGTAAGGGGAAATGTCTGCGCGTGTTATGGAGGGAATGCCTATGGGTGGCATGCCTACGGATTTTCCTCCTCTAAAAACTACGTGCGTGTTATGGTCGGGTGCGTGTTATAGAGCGAAAAATACGATATACTAGGGGCTGCTGCCCTGCACGAATTGCTTTCTAGTCCTTTCTACCCTCCATCTCTTGTGATACCCTCATCCTTCATGTCTCACCCCACTTCCCTCACAGCTTACTCCACCCCAGCCATCCCCCACAGTCATCCCTGCCCCTCCCCTCCCCACCCCTCCCCACCCCCCAACTGTTTGCCTCAAACTGCCTCTGCCCCATCTTCTCACCAATTGTTCCAAACTCGCACACTCCTCAATCTGTTACTAACCACTCTAATCCCAAGACCCTGCCTCCACTTCCTGTAGGAGAAAATGAATGGAGAGGGGAAAGTCTTTACAACCATGAACTCCACACCATGAACTGAAGAAATATGTCACAACGCAGGGTGGTTTCCCCCCAAATTCTCTGCCAGCGGCAGCAGAAGCAGGAAACAGGGATTGGTTGTGGATTGCAAGGAGATGGGGGAGTTTGGGTAGCCTGTTTTGCCACTATGTTCACACAGTGATGCTTCCACCCCACCCCAATGTCTGCATATAGTGAAATAGCTATTTAATCAAACATTAGAAAGGGACAAAAAGCCCTCCTAGGGGTACTCTATAGTCCCCCACCTCCTAAAAAACTAATCAGTCGGGATATTATTTGGACATAGAGGGGGACTTATTCACATGTTGCTGAGGAAATAATTTCAGACATTGGGGAGTATTGTGAAAACTTCTTAGGCAACATCCCGAAACACTCTTACTAGGATATAAGTTTTACTCATCTGACTCAGTTATGTGAGGCCAATGTTATGAAGCAAAAGCTTAAAATCTTATTTTTAACTAGAAATAAGCGAAGAAGAAGAGGAGTTTGGATTTGATATCCCGCTTTATCACTACCCGAAGGAGTCTCAAAGCGGCTAACATTCTTCTTTCCCTTCCTCCCCCACAACAAACACTCTGTGAGGTGAGTGGGGCTGAGAGACTTCAGAGAAGTGTGACTAGCTGAAGGTCACCCAGCAGCTGCATGTGGAGGAGCGGGGACGCAACCCGGTTCACCAGATTACGAGTTCACCACTCTTAACCACTACACCACATTGGCTCTCCCAGTGTGGAAGAAAGTACAGAAAATGGCAGCCCTTCATATTATCTGAAGATTCAGTGATTTACCAAAATCAACAACAAAGTTCTGTTTTTCATACTGCGCAAAGAGCATCATTTTCAGCTGCTTGTAGTTTTTATGTACTGCTTCCACATCTGAGAACCTGCTTCCTTCAAACAGGCAATTCCTCCGTTTATTCTTTCCTGCATCTCCATGTTCTCCAGAAACAAATGAAGCATTCAGTGAAAACCAGCCCACACTTTTTAATTAGCACAGCCACAGTTAGACAAACACAAGCATCTCAAGTCAGAAATCTTTCATAAAATGTCTTTCCTACACACGGGCGTTCCGTCTTTTTGTTTCTTACAAGATACTGCAGGCTAGGTCCCTTCTGACCCATATTATGCTGGAGATAGGCTGCATTTAACACCTAGCAGATATTCACTGCAGATTAAAGGTAAGGTACAGCTGTACCTTAATAACAGCAGTTGCCTCTTGGCACACCACCAAAAAGATAAGCTGTAATTGAAGCAATTTAAAGCTCCCTGGGGTTCCATTGTGCACACAGAGCATTCTCTCGGGGCTTCCTCATTCTTATTAAAGCCAGAAAAAGCTCCACATGTGTGGGCAAAAAGGTGTCCCCAGTGCTGCAAAGAACAGAAGGGCACCTGTTCATGTGTCACTCCCAAAGGTGTGTATCAGAGCTGCTGCAAGCACACTAGAGTTATGATGCTGCAATTCATCTTACCTGTTATAAGAAATAAAATTCATTAGTAGTTTGAATGCAAGGGGGTGTACGGGAATGGAGGATCACCGAGTTGGCTGTGTACATTGGCCATGATCAAATGAGGCAGCTCAGTCTGAGTACAGAAAGCAGAAGCCTTTTTTTTACTAGGAATTATAGGTACCGATGGGATGCGGGTGGCGCTGTGGGTTAAACCACAGCACCTAGGACTTGCTGCTCAGAAGGTCGGCGGTTTGAATCCCCGCGACGGGGTGAGCTCCCGTTGCTTGGTCCCTGCTCCTGCCCACCTAGCAGTTCAAAAGCACGTCAAAGTGCAAGTAGATAAATAGGTACCATTCCGGTGGGAAGGTAAACGGTGTTTCCGTGCACT